CAATTGGATGGACTTGTTTATTGTAAATGCGCTTTGTTTCCTTCCCTGAAAATATCCATTCACCTGTGGTTTCTTCTAATCTCTGAGTCGATCTATATTCTTGGGGAATCCTACGTGTTAAAGTGTCTTGCATCCGTATCATATTGCTTTCAGAGTAGTGTTGGCCTAATAAATAATAAATATCTACACAGTTTTTAGATTGTTTTGATAGCTTTGTAATATGACTAGCCTAGACCGTATCTTTTGCGGGCTTATTAAAGTGTTATTGCATATCATGGCGTTTTGCAATAGAGTTATATGGTACGGTGGGTAATTGTTTATGGTGCGCAGTCCTTTCTTATTATCATTCGAGGTGTAGGACTGTTTTTAGAATGTATAAAATTGCCAAATTAATGACGCTTGCATGCCTATGAAGTGTGCCATTTATAGGTTGACATTTAGATTTTTTTTTCGAAATGAGGTAAATCTATTTTCTTCTCGGATATAAGCTTTGGTTGCCAGCCTATAAAGAGATAGATATTATCCTTCACTTCAATTATTATTCTTATCATTATGTATCATTAATTTTATCCATTATTTTCAAATCAGTTCTAAGGAATACCCAAACTATTTCTGTGAAATGTTCAATCAAGGTCAAGCATACGTTTACAAGGCAATTTTCTAAAAAGTCTATTTCCACCGTCACAAAACTTGGTAATTTGCAAAAAATTCATAGTTGCCGTCAGCAATGGTTTAATTCTGTGTTTGCACTAATACCAAACAACTGGTTTTTCCTTCAACTAAGAGTTTTTTTTTGTCTTTTTTTTCTTTCAAGAGCTAATTTTTTATAGTTCGTCGTAAATTTTACTGCTTACTAGCTGTTTTGTGTCACCGCGTATTACATCAATCTTTAAGAGGGGAATACCCTATCAGAACTGGGGAACTGTTATTCCAGTTTGTGATGTTTTTCCTGAGTTTTTCATATGAATTGAAAAGCTCGGGAAAGTGTGGTGCATAAACATCTGGATTGAAATTATCGTTGTTCA